CAAACCCAAATCCAAATCTAGACTCAAAGCCGAACTTAAACCCTAAACCCCCAAACTCTAAACCCCTAAATCCCTAAACCCTAAACCCTGAACCCTAAACCCCCAAATCCTGAACCCTGAACCCTAGCTGTAAACCCCAAACCCTCAAGCCTCAAAACCTCCACTCCGTGTGTCGGGGGCGGGCCTCTGGAAGTGCCTTGATGAGGATGTACCCCATCTTCTCATACTTGTAGCCGTTGAGACTGCAGAAGTGTAAACGATTTAAGGTTTAGGGTTTAGGGTTTCCCCATCTTTTTCTCATATTTGTAGGATGAAGGCTTTCAGGCATATAAACCCTAAACCGTACATTTCTAAAGGTCTAGGGCCCAGGGTTTAGGCTTGTAACTGTAAGGGTTGAGGACTTTAGAGCGGCGGCGCAGGGTTCGACGTCCAGAATCTAGTCCTTAGATCTTTTTTCTATAAGGGTTTGGGGTTTGGGATTAAGGGTTTAGAGCCCAGGACTTCAGGCTTGAGGCTTCTTTAAATCTAGTTCTTCGTCTTGGCTCTTTCTTCAAAAAAGACTGGGATTCGAGGCCGCTCGGCACCTCAGAGGAAGACCGGAGCAAGTGGGCCGAAGGCCCATTGGCATTGGGCCGCCTGTCGCCGATCTGCGTGTCCCTGGTCTGTTCCTACTTAAAGGATCATGGGACTTAGTAACTAGGGTTATAATTAGGGTAACTATACTTATAACTACCTATAACCCCAATTAAGGTACTTATAACCTTACTTACTAAGTCCCATGATCCTCCAAGTATGGGTTGAAGACCCGGCACCTGTGGGGAGGACCACAGGTTAGCCAAACGGAGGTTCTCATCGAACAGCGAACATCAAAGGGGAGAAAGGAGGGACCCTTAATGGGGACCCCTACCCTATATGGGCTATATATTGGGTATATAATAGCTATATTATGGGTATATACCTAGGGGGTCCTTGTTAAGGGTCCCTCCTTTTACACTTGGAGAACAGCGAAAGTCAGGGAGATCAGTGCGTAAGCAGGCTCAGCGAAGGCAGCCAGCCAAGCATCTGTGGGTTGTTGAAGGCTCTCATTGTCGGAGCTGATTGCATTTTCTGCTGCTGTGGCGTCGGCATCTTGGCTACAGGTGGGAAAAGCAGAGGTGGCAGCCTGGCAAATTACTGGGGAGCCAACTTGCTCATGATCACTTCGTCGTGTTTTGGCAGAGCAGTGTAAGTAGCTGACTTTCCAGTCACGCATTGGGAAAACAAAATAACCAATCTTCATACAAGAGAAGCCCGAAACCCCCACGTTCGAAAGCTAAGCCCAAATCCTACCCCCCCCAACCCTGAACCCTAATGGAACCCAGGGTTTTGTATTGTTCATCACGGCTTTTTAGAAACCAAGTCTGCCCAAGCTGGGATTTAGACCCCTGCTACCCTCAATACCTGCTAAGAATTCTCGAAGCCACTGGGGCTTTTGGGTTAGACTAGATGTTGGGATCTAGGTTTTAAAATTGGAGCTTGAGTGCAAAGAACAGCCCCAGCTGAGAAGAAGCGACTCTCCTGTGTTCAGGATTTCTGCTCGCAGGATTTAGGCACTTGGTAATCAGAAATCCACAACGTTATGCCCGGATTAGGAGTTAGCAGAAGCCGACGCAGGATGTACTAAGACTCTTCCAGGACTCTTAGTGCATAGGGAATCCCAGCACTATAGGGCCTTAATCGGGTTTATAACTTTATGGGGTTTACTGTAGGGCAGAGACAAGTCCGAGGAATACATGGAACAGTGGAACATGGCCCTTGATGCTTGCGAAGAGCTTTGGGGCTATATGGGGGTTTCCGAAAATGAGGGTAACGTATTTTGGGGTCCTTACAATAAGGATCCTACTGTTAGGGGTACAAAACTAGGGTCCTCGATTTACGGAAACTCCCATATCAGAACACGGTATAGCTAGCGACTAGAAGGAAAGATTAGGTACAGTGTGAGATGATTGAAATTACCCAGGGTGCACTCGACCATCTGGCCTGTTGCAGCCGTTGATACCCAGAAGACCTCGCGATGCGGTAAGTGTGCTTGCCTCCAAACCGCCAGAAAGCGAAGACAGACTCTGAATAGCAGGGTGGTAGACGAACACGGCCGACAAGCCTAAACCCCAAACCCTGGGTTGCCGGGTCTGGGATGTTATGTTTGCTGTGGAATAAAAAATTAAGTTTCGGTGCCCTGAACCCTAAACCCTGAACCCTAACCCATAAACCCTGAACCCTACACCCTAGAGTTGTTAGTTTACGCCGGGTGAAGTGTGAGGATTCCAAGCCTCTGTCGGTTCTTGGGTATTCTCTTGTGGCCACCGGTTTAGGGCACCCTTGTCGTTTTAGAAATGATAGACAGAGCCCTATACCTATATCCCTTAGTAGGAATTATCTAAGAAGGTCTACTAGCCGGTCTGTTTATTCTTTTGGGGGAACCATGAAAAAGGACAAGGCTGGTTTAGGGTTTAGGGGTTTAGGATCTCTTGCGGCTGACGCAGAGCACATACTTTGGGGGAATTAAGGCCCCTAGAGTACTATATAAGGGGGAATCTGTAAAGCCATGTTCAGGATATCCTGAAACTGCCACACAACCCTTACTCTTAGGAACCAAATTGCGCATGCCAGCAACTAACACTATAGAAGCCTACCTAAATAGTAATAACTCCCTTAAGGCCACTATAAACTATACTATACCAAGCTATAATATGCCCCCAAATCCAGTTCTAGATATTGATAGCGTACCTAAACTCTGAAGGCCCCCCAGCTCGATACCCACAGCTCTAAGGAACCTCATGAAAGCCTTGCTCCCATTGCCTTGCCTAGAAAACATATAGGATTCCAGACCTACACGATTGCAACGGATCCGACTGCTGAGGTGGTGGCATCCTGAGTAGACATAAGCCTTGTGGCAGCCTGGTGGCACTCGTGCTGCAGAACATGTCTGGATACCACCACCACTGCGGCCGAAGCCACCAACACCAGCACCAGCACCAAGAAGCCTAAACCCTAAACCCTAAACCCCTAAACCCCTAAACCCTAAACCCTAAACCCCTAAACCCTAAACCCTAAACAGAGCGGCAGCAGCAGCATCATCATCTTCATGGCCACAAGGTTTGTCATCTGACAAGCTTTAGACTGCCAGGAACCTAAAGATAAAAAGGCCTCTCTTTTTGGCATTGGGTAACTTTATAAGGAACCTAGGACTACAAAAAGGGAATAAGGGTACTACTGGGCATCCTAGACTGCCAGAAGTTTTAGATCTAGACACATAGAGTCATAGAGTTCCCCGACGAGCGCAAGGGCAAGGCTGACAATGCTTGGGGTCTGGGGAAAATATACAAGTCCAACGACTTCGGATTAAGCAAAAGACCCCAATGGGACCTCCATTTTCCATGCAGCTTTTATTAATGGAGAGCGAAGAGAGGATCACACTGAATTCATACCCCGCTGATTAGATTGTCTCAGCGGCGTTCACAGCCTAAGTCCTTCTGCTTGCGCTGGGTATCTTGTGACGACCACCACAAAGCTGCTGAAACCTGTTTTCGGTAGGTATTAGTTTACATGCCCGTCCACTCAGTTCCGAAACCTCGACTAAGCCTGAACCCTATGTCATCAGGGGTCTACATTGCTTATACATCCTCCCTGAGCCCTGAACCCTAAGCCCTGCATCCTGAACCCAAAACCCAAAAGCCCCAAATCCGAAGAATTCTCAACTCGACGGCCGACTTGCCAAGTCCCAAACTCCTAAACCCGCACCCGCCTGACACAAGGAAGCCGCAAAAAACAGCGAGGATGGCTATCTCAGGAAGGAGGCAGAGATCTAGGGTTTAGGGTTCAGGAATACCTATAGTCTCCATTGTAGTTCCTTTTTTTGGTTAACCAGATTTATGGTTAGGACCCTATAATAGAGATTTTGGTTAACCAAAAAAAGGAACTACAATGGAGACTATAGGTATACTTCAAACGGTAAAGGGCTTAAACTTTATGGTTAAAGCTGTGTTCCGTGATTAAGGAGTATTCGGCTCTCAGGAAGGAAGCAAAGCTTCAAGGTTGAAGAGTTTAGGTTTGAGGCTCCAGGGATGAAGCTCTTAGGATCTCTTCCAGGACCACCCCAGGCAAAACCCTAAAGCCTGAACCGCATTCCGCCTACATAGCTTCATTTTCAAAACTATGCCTAGAAGCACGTTTCAGAGGGCCTAATTAGAGCCTGAATGTTCGCACTCTACAGTTTCCTACACCGTTCCAAGACGTAGAGTCTGTCAAAATCAACAGCCAGTTCTCAAAGCTGCGCGCATGGGCTGACGATGTAGACTACCGGATTTCTTGTGGCAGGCGTTGACGGAAACTGGGGGCTCAAAATAGGCCAAAAGCCTTATATAGCATGGTCTTCGGGCCCATAAACCTTAAAATGTGAGTCCTTAGAGCCTAAGGGGCATGAGAGTCTTATAGTAGGGCTCAGGGTCATAATGACTTGGGGGCTTTAGGCAGTAGTCGAGGTTTAATAGTGCAACAGGCCCAGGGTCGTGAGGACTTGAGGCTGTGAGGCTTACCCCAAAGGGTCCAAAGTACCTATATGGTAGAATGTAGGGTTTCTATATTAGGAAGTACGATTATGATTTGGGAAAGTATTCCCCATAACAGTACCTAGGACCCTTTGGGTACTGCTTGCACTGGAAACTTGTCTTGTTTCTACGTGCCTGCGGTTGTATACTCCTGAGAAGTCTGGCGACACAAGACGGGAGGGCCTGACTGCAGAGATTGACGGCGGCTGGCACCATACTTTCTGTTTCGTAGCCAAGCAACCAAGCAATTGCGTGCCAATGCATTCTTTTCACGATCTTGACACCAGCAATCCGCAATCTGGAACTTTACCACCGGCTTGAAACTAAAGCTTACGAATATAGGGTTTCTTGGCATAGTGTGCCTAAAGATGTCTCGCGCTTGGTATCAACTCCTGGACGGGGAGGTGCAAGGTATCAAGGTGCAGTGAAGGTCCGGCGCTTCTTCTGCAGTCCTCCCTCTGGCGGCGGGTCCGCCGACACTCCCAGCAGCTTGCGCACCTCTACAGGAAGGGTTCCCTTCTCTAGCATGGTCTTCATCTGGCTGTTGTTGGCGGCAAAAGTCTTGCATGCCTGCTGCAGTTTCTGCAAGCCCTTGAGCATTGCAGCCTCAGCGATGGCAACAAAACTCTCGACAGTAACCATCTCCAGCAAGATGCCTTCAAGCACCGGCACAATGCCGTTTGCCTGCCAGCGGTGGGCCAAGTCCAGGGCAACAAGCACTGTCTTGTAGTCAGGCTCATTACGCGTGGAGCTTGTATAGAGCATGTCCACTAGCAGCCGCACTCCAGAACCTGAAGAGTCCTTGACAGATATGCGTTTGCTTGAGCCTTCACTCATGGTTGACTCCAGCATGGCCTTCAAGACAGGTGAGGCTGTAACAAGAATGAGGTCGTGAGCCGAGACGTCGTCATCTGCTGTTTCAAAAACCACGTTGTGCGTAGGTGTCATCTGTCGTATTGACTCCCACATGTCGACGATGCTTTGCGGAATCGCAACGTTGGCCTGCTTGGGCATAGGTGTGGCTCTGGTAAGTACGTCCAAGTAGCCTTTGAATGCCTTCACTTTCACATCCGAGGCCGCAACATGTTTTGATTTCTGCAACGCCTGTAAGACCTCACACGCGAATGTGGTTGCGCAGTGCCCCTTGTACGGAATCTTGATGCTCTCGTCATCATGCTCTCGGCCTATAACGATGACACAACACTTTACATTGTCGGCCGGACACGCTTTAAGCGGGTCCGCTCCTGCTTTGATCATCCAATCCAGCATCTGGGCCCGCGTCTCCCACTCGCCAGAAGGAGCCTCCATGACGTCTATCAAAAGTGGCCTCAGATAGGTTCAAGCTAAGGGTTCAGGATTTTCTGCACTCACGAATCAGCTCATCTGCGCCGTCTCAGCCAACACCGATTCCCGAAGTGAAGGGCGCTCAGATTTCACAGAAGAGGAGCGATCTTATCACTAACCCATATATAAATTCGCCTAAAAAAGAATAATCCAAACCAGCCCAGAAACTTGGCTTTGCTATCGAGCTCGGACCAGTCGCAGCTGCGTTCTGTCACCCGCTGCACACCTGCGAGATCACCCACCTTGATCAGACCCCTAACCACGTCGGCCATCTTTGCTGTAGCCATGCCAGCAAGGCAATGAAACGGTCGAAGCTTCTAGATTCTCGACAATGCCTGCCGACGTCATGCTGAACATTCGATGTTTGTGTTTCGACGTCAGTCTTTTGAAGAGCTGCCTGTGGACCAATCAAGACATCTGTTGGTTGACAACGTACCAAGAAAAAAGGGGCTGCTTATTATGAGATAAGCTACATTCCTTACTTAATGGGTACTGGGCTCTCTGGGTAGTAGTACTTGGAGGTTCATGGGTAGTAGTAAGTGGGGCATAAGTAAAGTAACTATAATTATAACCCATAGTAGGAGACTTATAACTCCACTTACAACTACCCACGAACCTCCAATCAAAGTCGTAAACCCCACTACTGTAAACCCTACACTTCCTAAAATAAGCTTATTAGAGATACTAAGGCCCCCTACTACCCACCTAAGGATCCTTATAATCTGGGCTCTCTGGGTAGTAGTAGAGTATGTACACATTCCCATAGCAAGCATACTCTAACCCCTGATGCTCCAAGCCACGATGCATCTCCTCGGCAATAAAGACTTTGCCCGCGCAACACAACTAATTCCATCTTGCAGGGTTTAGGGGCAATAGGGTTGATAACATAAACCCTGCAATACCCATAATAGGGAATGTACCGTAATTCTCATAGTTTAGGGTCCTTAATGTAATGCAGGAAAAAATTATCAACAGTACCCTCAGAAAGGCAAGAGGCCTGCCCCATACACGATAACAGTTTCCGAACCGCCAGGTTCTTGTTAAGGGATTTAGTCTCTAGGTGTCTATATATATAGTGAATAATATGGTTTTTTATTATGGTAACTTAAAATAAACTCCTTAACGAGAATCCAGACAGTGTAGGCGCTGCTGGCAGAAAATGAAGAATGATCTGGCAGCTAGTCGCAACATTGCTGTATAGGGGTGTAGTGTTGCTGTTTATGTTTCTATTCACACTGTAGTCATGCAAGTCCTTACGTTCACGTGTGCTGCACAGCGCCCCATGCACATACTGACTGTTCGGCTATGATGGAATCATAGCACATTGCAGGCTTAGTACTTAGAGTGAGAATGCGGTACACGCTGCGGGGGGCTTTGCAATCTTGCGGCCTGGCAGTCTACTGAAGACTGAACTCCATGCATATGTGTACATCAAAAAGTACATAACTTTTTTTATACATACGCATGTCACACCTTCTGTGTTTATGTTCGATAGACTCTGACGTACTTCACACTACGAGAGCATTCAGGTCTACCTGACATCCAGCGAACCGTCGACTTAGATCCTACAGGGGTTCCCCCATTTTCGGAAACTCGAAAACCTGTCGAGGGCCAGGCATACAGCACTAAGCACACCGGAAGCGGGGGGCTGCCGTGGTGGCTGCGATCAGTGGACCTCATGTAAATGATTGGCTGTGTGCAGGTCTATAGTTTCAATGGATAGCGAATCCAAAGCCAAACCCTACATGCTAAACCCTAAACTCCCTAAACCCTACACCATGAACCTGGAAAAGGTGCAAGCTTAGGAGTTTGGCTTTGGAGGCTATATGAGGCTATTGAAGTTGCGGGCCACTTTGAAATTCCCCTCTCAATGAAGGTGTAGGGTCCCTGGCTGTAATCTTCGAAGTCAAAGGGATCTGCGCTGATTATAACGTTTGGGACGAACGGTTTAGGGTTTAGGGGTTTAGGGTGTTTAGGATTTAGGGTTACAGCTGCCGCGGATCAGTTCACAAAGAGTTTCTCATGCCCTTGGGTCCAGGGTTTACGGTTTACGGCCTAAGGTGGCAACATTCCTCCGGAGCCATGTGCATACCTGTCCAGTATCCCAGGGGACCTAAAGGTTAAACTTTGGGATTATATTGGCATTATACAGGGATTATAGTGCCCAAGAGGATTAAAGGATACATTCTACGACTGAATATACGTTAACCGGTCAGCGAGACCCGGGTAAACCTTGTTTGATTCATGTCATTTCAGTGGCGGATACCTCAGCCGCTAAAGGCTATAAAAAGCACCCTGAATCCTCCAAGCCTGCAGCGCCAATCCGGCTGTCAAAGCCTAGCAGTTATAGGTAGGGTTCAGGTGGCGTGGGATAGCACCATCCCACACAAACATCTCGAAGAAGGCGCTGGCTGATGATAGTACAAACGATGACAAAGGAAATCTGTAAAGATAAATGACGCTTAGGAAGATGAGAACAAGGGCCACATAAGTGGAAGAGAAGCATGTGAACTGTCTATTTAACCGAACAGGCTCTTAAGTGCGTGCCTTCGGTATATGTACATAAGCCTTACCGTGTAAAAGCCTTGCAAGTCAACCCCAGTGCAGGAAAGAATCCTCCACTTGTTGCTATGTTCCGACGGATATCCCATGATAAATGCCCCATACCCCACAGCGGCTAAAACCACTAGATCAACCTCACAAAATCTACGCTACGGCAGAAACATAAAACAGAATCCTGGAAGCAGATCCCACACATCCACGTCTAAAAGCCATTCAGAACCTTACCCAAATGACACTCACACACAGAAATAAGAGAGAGAGAGAGAGAGAGAGTCTACATATATGTATGTATGTATGTGTGTATATATATATATACATACATACATACATACATACATACATACATACATACATACATACATATGTGTATGTGCGTGTGTGTGTGTGACAGTGTGTAACTATGTGTGTGTATGATAGTGTATGTATATATAAAAGATGTATATACGTGGACCTTACGTGGAAGATACATAAAACCAACTTTTTTGACACGACTTAGGCTTTGGCTTCTGATGGTCGCCGTGATGCGCCACCTGCGCCGACAGCGCTCGGAAGGAGTCTCGCCGGCCCCTGGTCAGTCTTAGAGGTAAGGTTTATAGGGTTTAGGGTTTAAGGTTTCTGGAGTTTAGGTCTTATAGGGATTATAGGGTTTAGGGTTGAATGTAAGGTTTCTAGAACTGAGGTCGTATAGGGTTTAGGGTTGAATGTGAGGTTTCCAGCATTTAGGTCTTATAGGGTTTGGGGTTGAGTGTAAGTTTTCTAGAGTTTAGGTCTTATAGGGTTCAGGGTTTACAGGGTTTTAGAGTTAGGGAGGAGGTGTAGGGTTGAATTTTAGGGCCTTCTTTAGAGTTTAGGAGTTAAGGCTTCAGCGCTTCTGAATACAGGGTTTGAAAGTTAGAGTCGACTAGGATACCCAGTAACCTAAGAATAAAAGGCCTCTCTTTTTTGTATCGGGTAACTTTATAAGGAACCTAGGACTACAAAAAAGGAATAAGGGTACTACTGGGCATCCTAGTCGAATATAGGGTTTGGAGTTTACAGTTGAATATTGCGCTTGGGGTTTAGGGTTTAACGTGGGGGTTTGGGGTTGAAAAACTAAACCCTAACCCCTATAGGGCTTGGGGTTTAGGGTTTTATTCAGGGTTTGGGGTGGAAAAAATAAACCCTAAACCCTATAGGGTTAGGGTTTAGGATTTGGGGTTCGTACAATAGGGTCCTTAATAAGAAGGAAAAGGCTCCCTTAAAAGGGCTCCTTTAAGGGTGCTATAAGGGATTGCAGGCTTGCTAACATTTCAGGGGTTCCTTACGGGGGTTACTACATTGCCTTCACTTCTTCGAGTTACTGTAGGAATTTGGTGGGAGCTTACTGTGATTTTTGTTTAGATAAGGGCTTCGGTAGAAGCCTCGAGACTTGGAATACGTTTTTGTAGGAGCAGTGAGTTCTTCTAGTTATTAGCCATTGTATGATGCCCGGAACCTAACGACCTCCTTAAAACACTAATCCCTTCCCCCTAACATTAAATGGTCGGGGCCCCCCCCCCCGCCCTAAATAAAAACTCGAGAATGTTTTTATTATTAGGGGGTGGTTGTTATCTCACATCCTGGTTATACCTAGTTTTACCCCCATCATGAACCCAGAGACAGCAAAACTTTTGAGTTCAGGAATAGATCTGAAAATCATGATTATAGGGGATCCCACTATATTTTATGCAATATTCCTTAATTCAAGGGTTTTGGAGTCTGTGGGAAGATGCTGTGACGGGGGTGGTTCTTATTTTACTTGCAGTTGTTGATTGATTCAGCTTGACGATGATGCTAATTTCAAATTTGATGAGCTTGTTGACGACGACGATGATGATAATGATGACGATTAATTAAGTGACGACGAGCTTCATGATGATGACAGTGACGATGAGAAGTAGTGAGCAGGAGCAATACTGGTATTGCCAATAGCAGGAGCAGAACATCAGCAGTCGCAGCACCAGCACCAGTAGCAGGCAAAAAGGAATGGGTGGGTCACGGTGGGTTTGGGAGCGTTTCGGTGGATTTTGCACGGTTTTGGGCGGGTCTGGTTCTGCTTTTGGCGGTTTTGGGTCATTTCAAAATTTCGATTCTGGGTGGGGAAGGGCCGCCAGGAATTGAGATCGCAACGGTGTTCAAAACGACTTTTGAGGCGGCTGCCCTCCCAACAATCTATTCCGTCATAGCTTAGTGGGCAAGATCGCGGCTCTTCAAGGCTTCTGGGGAAGGTCGCGGGCTCAATCCCCGCCGGTGTCACTTGGTCCCTTTCCCAACCTGGAATAGAGATTTTGGGGTCACCCAAGGCTCTGTGGAGGCTTCGCGCTGTCGTGGGACATCCGGCTCTGGGTGGACATCCGGCTCTCGCGGGACACCCGGTCTGGGGTCTGGGGGCACATCCGGCTCTCGTGGGACATCCGGCTCTGTTAATGGCTGTGGCTGCGCCTCATTTCGCATATTGGCAGGGTCATGATGGACTGTAGCACAGTCGTTCCGCAGGCTGCCACAACTCCGATGATGGCAACACTGTGCATGATCGTAATACAACCTTAGTACTGGAAGTGCCTCCTTCCGGATGCTGGCTGGGTTGTCATGGATTGTAGTACAGCATTAGTACTGAAAGTGCCTTGTTTCGGATGCTGGCAGGAGTGTTCTGGAATGTAGTACAACCTTAATACTGGGAGTACCTTGTTTTGGATGCTGCCAGCAT